TACAAGTTTAGGCATTTGAGCAAAGAATTACATTATGTAAAGGAGATCGCCTTTAGTCGGGAATGAAACAGCATTGATTACAAAATTTCAATAAATAACTTTCAAGAATTGAACGAGAACATGAACAATGATAAACAAATCAAAATAACAAATCAAAATAAATTTACCACCAGCTGAGTGGTCGTGTGCGGCTATTAAATAAGGCGTGATGTCCAAAATATTCAAAACGACAGAAATGCGTTGGACGCGTCTGAGTGTTAAACGGCGTTTAATGATCACGAATATGCTCATTAACTTGGTAGGCGTGACTCCCATCTGAAAGTTAACCATGTGTGAAAACGCGAGTAACGCGTCTAACGTTTACATTGTATTTCTACTATAAATTCACGTGTTGACTATGCGGTTTGCACAGGGAATGTTTTTTTTAAAATGCATAGCTTCAATTTATAGATATAGGGATTCTAACTAGGCCCTACTAGGTACAACTAGTTCTAGCTAAGCAAAGCCAGACGAGTAGATAGAGTAGTCAACTCACGGATCGCTACGATACGACGGACGTGTCGTGAAAGTTTCAATGCAGCCAAATATTCACACAATTATTATTAATCCCAAGAAGCACTTGTTCTACAAATGGGTCTATAAATAAAACGAATGGGCTACACATATCATTTAGTATATGGTACAGTAGTACCATTATTAATGGCCTAGCCTACTCACTTTCTGCTTTTGTAGAACAGGAGGCCTAGCCTACGTGATCCTTTCTCTTCATGCTGCTGCTACTGCTAGCCGCTTTCCAGTCGGGGGTTTGAACAATTTATTCAACAGCTCCGGAATACTGACCTGTAGGCTACATTTTTATAAAATAGTGTTGTTGCATAGTAGGTCTATTTTACATTTCATTACGTTTTCAAGCTCATACTAACGTTTCGAGCATCGAGTGAATAATTCGGAGTCAGACGGAATGAGCAATGCATTAAAAATAGGAGTACAGTATTCTAACATTCAGCGCAATAGCAAAATGGTCATTTCGAGTCGGAGGGGTTCGAGCAATCTATTCAACAGCTCCAAAATACTGATACAATATTTACAGTACTACACAACGTAGCCTAGTCTACATTTTTATGAAATTGTTGTTACATTTTGTATGTCCGTTTATTTATTTCATTACATTTCATGCTTATATTTTCGCATCGAGTCAATTTTCAATTCGGAGTCGGAGGGGGATGAGCAATGCATTCAATGGCAGACAGTTAACATTTCGCAATAGCTCCGTCTGCTATTGAAATAAAAATAACTTAGGTACTGACACTGTATGGTATAGTTGATGCTAGGTATTGGCATAAGGGTAATGTCTGCAAATTTATTTAAAACGCTAAGTGAAATTGGCGATTATAGATACCATACCAGCACCCAATTAGTGGAGGTCCCGATTTGTGAGAAGAGCATGCGCGCATACCCATTCTAGTATTAAAC